CCCCCCCCTCCCCCTGGACCTGGAGAGGGGGTCCGGTGGGTCGTCACGGGGGTCAATTTCGACTCCTGGGAGGGCTAAAAAACGACACCCCTCACGAGGATTCTGCCCCCGACGGGGGGACGCCGAAAAAACCCTCTCCTCTTCTGTGAAGCTAAAATCATTGATTTTACTACGGTTTCGGCCCCATTTTGGCCTTCTGAGGGGGCAGCGCTCCTCTTCCTTGTTCTCAAAATCATTGATTTTACTAAGGTTTTGGGCTCATTTTGTCCTTCTCAGGGGGTAGCGCTCATTTGCGCTTCTGAGGAGGTCGCAAGAGGCCCCAGATGGCCCCAAGATGCCCCCAGGAGGCTCCCAAGAGGCCTCCAAGAGGCCCCCAAGAGGCCCCCAAGAGGCCCCCAGAGGCTCCCAACAGGCCCCCAAGAGGCCCCCAAGAGGCCCCAAGAGGCCCCAAGAGGCCCCCAAGAGGCCCCCAAGAGGCCCCCAAGAGGCCCCCAAGAGGCCCCAAGAGGCTCCAAGAGGCCCCCAAGAGGCCCCACGAGGAGCCCGAACGACTCACACCAGGACGAGGGGCCCGAACGACTCACACCACGAAGAGCCCGAACGACTCACACCACAAAGAGGGGCCCGAACGACTCACACCAGGACGAGGCGCCCGAACGACTCACACCACGAGGAGCCCGAACGACTCACACCACGACGCGGGCCCCGAACGACTCACACCACGAGGAGCCCGAACGAGTCACACCAGGAGGAGGGGCCCGAACGACTCACACCAGGATGAGGGGCCCGAACAACTCACACCACGAGAAGCCCGAACGACTCACACCAGGACGAAGAGCCCGAACGACTCACACCACGAAGAGCCCGAACGACTCACACCAGGAAGAAGGGCCCGAACGACTCACACCAGGACGAGAAACCCCAAACGACTCAAACCACGAGGAGCGCTTTCTCTCCCTCCTCCTCCGCCTCGTCCTTCTCCCGCTCCCCCCACAAGGAGGATGTACAAGGAGGCGGGAGGAAGGAGGAACAGGGGAGATATGCGGGGCCAAGCGGACACACGCCTGAAAAACACGACTGTCGGCATGCTTCGCAAGAGTTGCTGCTGTGAGATGGGCTGGTGGGGATACGCGAAGCGTAAAGAATGAGTAGTGAGTACTCTTTGGGGCTGGGGTTCGTGGGGCCCTTTTGGGAGTGCGGCCATCCGCATGGCTCGTGGGGCCCAAGCGGCGCACCGTCCCAATGATGTTGGCTTCTTGGGGCCCTTTTGGGAGTGCGGGCCATCCGGAAGCCGTCTTGGGCGTGTTAAACGATAACTCCGCGATAGTAGGCCTCCTGGAGGCCTCTCGCATAGTAGGCCTCTTGTAGGCCTCTCGCGGCCCTTTTCATCTGTGTTGGTGCTGTCTTTGGCGGTTTGGAAGCGCCCCTGGCGCCCCGACACCCCCATGGCGCGTCGGGGGACCCCGCCTCGATCCAGGGAATTACATTACATACATATAGGTCAGTGTGTACATATATAAATATATGTATACAAACATACACCCATACCCACATACATACATACATACATACATACATTACATTACATTACATTACATTACATTACATTACATTACATTACATTACATTACATTACATTACATTATATTACATTACATTACATTACATTACATTACATTACCTTACCTTACATTACATTACATTACATTACATACATACATACATACATACATGCACATATGCATACATACAGACAGACATACATACATGCATGCATACAACCAAACATACCAACACAGAAACACACATACATACATCCATCCATCCACCCACCCACCACCCACCCACCCATCCATCCATACATACATCCATCCATCCATCCATCCATCAATCCATACATACGTACATACATACATACATACAAACATACATACAAACATACAGATACACTCATCCATACATTCATTCATTCATTCATACATACGTACATACGTACATACATGCATGCATGCATGCATGCATGCATGCATACAGACATCCATACATACATACATACGGTCATACCCATACACACGAAATAATATGTATACCCACGAAATAAAACATGTGTATATACACATGTGTCTTGGGGGCCTCTTAGAAATGGTCTTGAAGCCTTTTGGGTGCCGTCTTGGAGACTCTTTTGGGCCTCTTGGGGGCCTCTTGGGGCCTCTTGGGGGCCTCTCGGGGCCCCTTGAGGTCTCCTGGGGGCCTCTTGGGGCGTCTTGGGGGCATCTTGGAGCGGAAAGCTTTATTTTTCAGTTCGCGTTCCCCCTCTTGGGCCCCTGTTGGGGCCTTCTTGGGACCCTCCTGCGCCGTTTTGGGCGGCTCTGGGGCCGTATCCGGGCTCTTTTGGGCCGTCTTGGGGCCCTCTTGGGGGCTTCTTGGGCCGTCTTGGAACGGTTCTGGGAGCCTCTTGGGCGGTGCTTCAGCGCCGGCAACACGAAACAACGAGAATGCAAACAAATTTAAAACAACATATGAAATATCAACGATTTTGCCCTCTCGGGGCGCTCTTGGGCAACATCTTAAAGGCCTCTTGGGGCGTCTTGGGAGCCTCCGGGGCAGTTTAAAACGCATCGTGCGTCGCGAGAGACCCCTGGACGGCGTCTTGGGGGTGTCTCGAGACCGTCTGGGGCCGCCGGGATTGCTCCAATGCTCAGAGGTCGCACCTCCAGGGGCTACAGCATTGCGCACGGCTTGGGCAGCTGGCTATGTTGGTGGCGAGCCCGCTCTCCAAGAGAACCTCCAACCTTGACATTGCATTTAATTTCCTTCGGCACATCACTGCCCCTGAATTCAACCAGTTTCTGTCCGAGCTGGAAGAACAACTTGTCGCAACCGCAGTCGAAAAGCAGGCAGGGCATTGCGACGACACCAAGACTACTCTTCATCCAGAAGCCGAGGAGTTCGCCCCCCAATACTTGCTTCTTGCTTCCGCCGTTTCTCCCAGCTCTACCGCACAACGGCGCGCGACACTTCAAGCTGCACTGCGAGAGCAGCGGTGGCGGAGGCAGCAGGCGCACCCCCTCCAGACCCCACGCGAAGCTGGACGAGCAGCACAGCTACTACGGCCACGACGCGGAGCCTGGGGCGCAGAAGAGCTACGACGACCAGGCCGCGGGGACGGCCGAGACGCACCACGCGGCCACGCGGAGCACGACGAGCAGTAGGACAGCGAGCGCAGCGCTGGCGGCGGCAGCAGGTGCAACACCTCTGGGCTCCAAGCGAGGCTGGGCAAGCAGCAGAGCTCATTTGACGACCAGGCCGCAGGCACGGCCGAGGCGCACCACGCGGAGCACGACGGCCAGGACAGCTCGAGCACGGCGCTGGCGGGGGGGACGCAACAGGTACAACCCCACCAGAGCCTGCGCGAAGCTGGGCAAGCAGCAGAGCTAATTACGACGGCCACGATGTGGAGCCCACGACGGAGGAGCGTTTGGACGACCAGGCCGCGGAGTCGGCCGAGACGAACCACGCAGAGCGCAACGGCCAGATCGGTGAGCACGGCGCTGGCGAGGGCAGCAGGTACAACCCCACCAGACTGCACGCGACGCCGGGCAAGCAGCAGCGCTACGACGGCCGCGACTCGAAGCACGGGGCGGAAGAGCGCTGGGACGACCAGGCCAAGGAGACGGTCGAAACGCACCGCGCGGAGCACAACGGCCAGGACAGCGAACACGGCGCTGGCGGCGGCAGCAGGTGCAACCCCACCGGGCTCCACGCGGAGCTGGGCAAGCAGCAGAGCTACGACGACCAGGACCCAGGGACGGCCGAGGCGCAGCGCGCGGAGCGCCGCGGCCCGGGCGGTGAGCACGGCGCTGGCGGGGGCAGCAGGTACAACCGCACCGCGCCCCGCGCGCGGCTGGCCACGACGCGGAGCCCCGTTCGAAGGCCCCTGGCGCCGGCGCGGCTGGCGGAGGCACTGCCTGCCAGCACGCGCGCAGGTGGTCGGCCAAGAGGGTGGCGCTGGAGGCGGCGCCAGCGCCGGCGGCGCAGCCCGCCGAGGACGCCGGCGACGAGGACCCTGACGAGAGGGCCGTCGCCCTCGGCGTTCATGGCCTCTGTCAGCGACGCCGATGGCTCCTCGAGAGACGAGCTCACCATCTTCGACACCAGGAGGCGCTGCATCGCTCCAGGGGTGCCGACGGTCCCAGGCAATCTTCGCGGCGCCATCCGCACGGTCTCCTCCGTGGCTGAGCGGCCGAGGCAACCGCAGCCTCGTGAGGCCGACGTTAATCAGCCGCGCCGTCGCAGCGCGCGCCCCCCCCACCCCTCATACGCATCATTCCCCACGCTCACCGCCCGCGGGCACCTCAGGCCGCCCGGCGCTCTGCGCCGTGCAGGAGGAAGGAACGAGGCGGGGCGAGTTTGAGGTGTTCGGGCTATTGCGGAGAAGGGCTGGCCCATCGCTGGGAGGTGTAGCCCCGCGGCGAACCCTGACGGCTCACAGTCCTAGTGTTCGGGGGCTGCCGGGATGTCGCTGAGGCCTCCTCTCCCTCTGGAGGGGTGGCGTCCCCAAACTCCTAATGACAGAGGGTCACATCCCCATGGAAGGAACCAAGGCTCCGCATCCTGAGTTCAGAGGACGAGGCGGATGAAGAGGAGGAGAAGGAGCAGGAGGAGCAGGAGAATCAAGGGAAGGCGGTGGAGGAATAGGAGAGAGGCGGCAACGACGAGGAAGTAATCGGATCCAGACATGTGACCTGCGCTGGAACTAGATTGCTGTTCTGACTGACGGGAGCAAAGCACCGATCTTGAAAAGTGGCCGACGCTGCAACGGTAACACAAGGTTGAAAGACTGAACTCGTTCCGACTGAGCAAACGCATAGGACAAACAAATGTCATACGGACAATAAATGTACGGAAAGGGCGCGTCAACCGGCGAGTCGTCTGTTGACTTGACGGTCCCGAGGCCCTGGGAGGCGCCCGGAAACCGAAGACAGCGAGAAGCCTTCCGCCATGAGGTTTCCATGACCCGACAGGCCCGGGGTCCTCCTGTCGGCCGCCCTGCGTCGCCTGCTGGGACGCCTCGACGCGCAGGCTGACCATGGCCAGCATCGAGCTGTGGAGGCGCTCCGACGCGGAGCTGAGCAGAGCCATGGCCTCCACAGAGCGAGCTGACCCAACAACGGGGGTCAGGAAGTGCGGCAGGGCGGGGGACGAGGGAGGGAGGCAGGAGGACGGAGGGCAGGGTGGGGGGAGGGGGGGAGACTTGGGGACTCGAAGACTAACTCGAGGTGGACCCCCTCGCTCGCCACAACGGGTGCAAAATCAATCCTAGTCAGCTTCATCGAGGCAATGCTGACAGAACCGAACTTCAGCTTCCTGCAGCACCTGGCGCTCAGAGATAAGACTTGCCACTTGGGAAGGATCTGCGAAACTTCGGGGGAGGGGGAATTCAGGATGGAGGCGGGTGGGGAGGATGGAGGTGTGGAGGGGGATGGAAGCACGCAAGTCCTGGGCAGGAAGGAGGTGGGTCGGAGGGGTCAGGAGGCAAAACCACCGACCCTTCGGCGTGTATGCGACGCTGTCGTCGTCCTCGTCGCCGCCGTCGTCGTCGACGTCGTCGTCGGCGTCTTCGTCGTCGCCAGTCCCATGAAAATTGGGGAACGAAGAGAAAAAAGAGACGTCGTAGTGAAGTCGGTTCCTTTCCCGTCTCCCCTCCCCTGACGAGGGGGTGGGGGGGTGCGTGGAGGAGGCACGGAGGGAGGATAGGGGGGGGGAGCGGGAGGGGGCCCGCGTCAGATTACCCCCCTCCCCAGCCCGGTCCCCCCTGTGGACACAGCAAGCATTGGTCCCCCCCCGTCCTCCCTGTGAACAGGGGGTGGCAAGAAGTGGCCCCCCGTGTGGTCAGGGGAAGCTCAATGCCCCTCCCACCCCCCCTCCCCTCCCCCTTATCCCCCTGTAGACAGCAGGGACAGGAGTGGGTCCCCCAGGGGGGGGGGTCTTGCGGAGGGTCCAGGGTCAGATTACCGCCCCCCCCCCCCTCCTGGTGCCCCCCCCCTGTGGATAGGGGGGGACGAGGGATGGCTCCCTTTGTGGGCAGGGGGGGCTCAATGGTCCCACCCTCCCGTCCCCGGTCCCTCCTGTGGACAAGGGGGGACAGGGGGCATCCCCCTGTGGACAGGGGGAACTCGGGGAGCCTCCCCTTACCCCCTCTCTCCTTGATCCCCCCTGTGGGCAACGGGAACAAGGAATGTTCCCCCTGTGGATACGGAGAGCTCAGGACCCCTCTCCCACCCGGTCCCCCTGCGGACAAGGGGGCCGCCCCACCCCCGGGGGGTTCGCCAACAGGGGTCTCCGGGGAGGTCCCGCCTTCAGGGTCGGCGTCACCCAGCCGCAAGGCCTCCAATAGGCAGGTGGGGAAAGGGGGAAGAAAGAGGGAGGATGGAGGAGGCGGGAGGAGGGACGAGGGGAAAGGATGTGGAGGGACCAGAGCAAAGCCCCCCCCCCCTCCCCGCGTCCAGAGCCCTCTCCCCATCAGGCGCTGCGCCAGTTCGTTCTCCCCACGGGGGGGCGCCCGCGCGGCCAGCCTTTGCGCCCCGTGGGCCTGCCATTCAGGCGAGGGCCCCGTCTTGAGGAGGGGCCGCCTCCCTTCCAAGATGTCGCGGCACACTCCAGTATGCAGCCCTGCAAACCTGACGATTTCATCCAACGAGGCTCGCGCTCGAAGAGGAGGGATCGCCCAAATCCGAACACCCATGCAGTGGCGACGGCCCGACGGCTCAAAACAATGCCCCAACACTGCCCTGAACGCTTCAAAGTCATGCCCCGGCACCGCTTTGAACGCGTCCAAGCAATGCTACATTGGACGATCAGTGAGTGATGTTTCACCTTGCAGCAGGAGGGTGATTTTGTCACCTTGCACTCACGCAGCAGTGTCTGCAACTGCGGGCGTCACAACTATGCCGAAACTGCCAGGAACTGCGGCCATCATGAAAATACTTCGCGCCCTAGCACCAGGACGCGTGAGAGGCCGATCACCTCCATGATCCCCATGTGTCCCATGAAACAATAGGAGCGGCATGAACTGAGACTTATGGCCCCCATGGGCCCCATCGGTCCCAAAGCCCTATGAGCCCTATCAGCCCTACGCGCCCTATGAGCCCTGTGAGTCCCCCGAACCTCATGATCCCCATTGAGCTCTGAGCACCATGATCCCTATGAGGCCAATGAGTCCTACGAACTGTCTGAGGTATCTGAGGTCCATGAGCCCCATGGGCCCAATTCTAATCCGTAGGAGCCCTCTGAGCCCTTTGAGCCCGTCGAGCCCTTTGAACTCTACAAGCCCTATGAGTCGTATGTGAGCTCACGAGCCCTACAAGGCCCATGAGCTCTATGAACTCGACGCGCCAAATGGGCCCCATGAGCCCGATGAGCTTAATGAGCCCTGGGAGCACTGGGAGCCCGGTGAGTCCTACGAGCCCTATTAACCCCACGAGCGCCATGAACCCATATGAATCCACATGAACCCCATGAGCCCGATGAGCCCTATGAGACACGTGAGCCCTACAAACCCATGAACCCGATGGGCCCTCTGAGCGCTGTACGAGCCCCATGGGCCCATGAACTCTATGAGCCCAATGTGCCGCAGACACTTTGGCTCCGTGACCGCGGCTCGCAGCGGGGTGGGGGCGTCCCGGAAATAATTGTGAGAACTCCGTCTGGGCTGCTGAGGGACTTGCTGGTCCCAGGGGCTCGGGGCTAGGGCTGCTTGGAAGCCCTCTTGATGGCCCAAAAGGAAGGAGGAGAAAGGAAGGGGGCGCGAGGATGGGAAATGAAGGCGAAAAGCGAGCAGGGAGCGAGGCAGGGAAGATGGACGAGAAGAAGGGAGAAGAAGGGGGAAGAGATGGGCAGAGAAGAGCAGGAGAGTAAAGAGGCAAAGGAGGACAGAGGAGGAGGAGGAGGAGGAGGAGGAGGCACCTTCCTGTAGTAAGACAGCGGGTAGACAACGAAGGCGCGGACGCCATGACGTCGAAAGGGTGCCCCGAGTGCGCTCTTGTTGTTGCCTTGCTCCCTTCTGGCCACATTTCCGCATTGTTCAAAGCAGTGCCAAGGAACTGTTTCGAACAATCACAGCGGTACAAGGGCACTGCGTTGAACCGTCGCACGTTTATAGGCTTCTGGTTTACATTCGTGCGACTGCTGCATATGCGTAAGCTTCGGACAGTCATATGAGGAAGCATTATCGTCAACGCAGGTGCGGATAGGAGTGGAGGGGCGGCGGGTTCGTCCGCAGTCCGCGATGCTCTGAAAAAGCCCGAGGCAGGCGCCGCATGACTGCACATGACACAATGAGCCAACCGCAGGCCCGAATTTTGGTTAAAGCACTGTGGGTGGATCGCGGGTAGCCAGGCACCCAGGGACGGTGTGAGACCGCTCGGCCCCCTCACCCTGATCTGACAAAATCCCCGTTTAGAACCCAAGGCTCGAAATTTAGCCGCCCTCCACCAATGTAACAGCCGAAAACGTCCATGATGAATGTGCGCAACGGTAAGGAGAGAACCACACTTTTTAAACCGTCCGCGAACCGTCTTTGTGACTCTTGAGGCTTTGAGCTCCAAGATCATGAATTCTGAGGAGACTCCGGCGAATTGTCCAGGGCACACACGCACACACCGCACGGCATGGTACGCGCTCCACGAACTCACGCGCGGCATGAGGTTGTCCAGTACGGCACGGCAGGGCTACGGCATGGCCCGACGACCACCAAGGTTCGGTACAGCACGACAGCACGGTACGACACGACACGGGCCCAGTGGAATCACACGAAGCTCGACATGGCATGGCAAAGACGGTGCGGCGCGGCACGGAAGCCTGCCACGGAATCCGAAGGGGTCCTCGGCGTGTGAAATGTTCGCCCCTCCTCAAACCCCTCCGCCGGGAAACTGGTCATCGAACCCGGAGGAGGGGGGTCCCGCCGCCAGGGCCAGCCGGGCGCACGGTCTCATCTGCCCATGAATAACTCCAAGGCGCAAAGAAAACCTCAACGAGAACTTCACGACGGTCTACACCCAGGATGGCCCAAGATAGGTCCAAGAGGGCCCCAGATGGCCTCAGCACAACTCCACAGGCACCCAAGACGGCCCAACAGAGCCCCAGGAGGATATCCAAGAGGGCGCCAACAGGCAAACTTCTTCGAGTTGCCTCATATGTGCTGTACATGTTTGGCATACTCGCCGTTGCGCTAGTACACCCCAGGAGACCCCCACTATCGTCCCGAGATGGCAGAATCCCCAGGAAGGTTCCCAAACGGCCGAAGACGACCCCAAGATGGCCAAAAAAGCCCAAGACGACCTAAGCGACCCTCATGAAGGCCGCAGGAGGAGCCCAAGAGGGAGGCAAGGGAAGGGGCCTTGTGAGACATCTCCCACAAGACGCCTCCCAAACCACCCGGCATCCCCCAACAGAGATCCAAGAGGCCTCCAGATGCACCCAAGAGCCCCCCCCCCAGTAACCCCAAAACGACTCAACGGGGACCCTTTCGAGCACGGTGTTCAATTCCCCAGATGCAAGCACGGCACCAGGACGCTTCTATGACAACGCCCCCTAAAAGAGAGGCATCCAGAGCTCCCACAGGGTCAGCAGTGCGACGTGAGTCTATGACTCACGATGTACTGCACAGAATGGCACGGAACGGCACGTGCGCCGTGTAACAACGCGAGGCACGGCGCGGCACAGCTCAATGGCACGGCATGGCGGCCATGCACGGTACGGGCCCCGTTGAATGACGATTTGGGCAATTTGGATGCCCTTGCGCTAACTTCCAGCACCCTTACCAGTTCGCCCGCAGACCCGAGAGTCAATCGCAAACTGTGCTAGCAAAAAGAGCGGGCCCAATAGATACACCCCCCCGTGGGACGTTGACTTCCACTCAGGCCCCGAGAAGAGGAGGAGCAGCCGTGCTTCCTGTGGGCAACAAGCGGTCAGATGAGGCGCTAGAACAACTGATTCAAGCCCCCGCCGAGCTGCCGTTCGAGGAGGAGGAGGAGGAGGAGGAGGAGGACGCCGACGACGACGACCGCGAGGACGAGGACGAGGACGACGACGAGGCCTCCCAGGATCACTGCCAGCGATACTAACGATTCGTTGGTATCGCTGTCGGATTCTGCCCAGTTCAGGCTATCGGATGTGATTGCTTCAGTTAATCAAATCCGATAGCCTAAACTGGACAGAATGCGATGTCGCATGGGGGTGCGGCAGCATTGTCAACACAAAGAGGTTGACGCCGCGTGAACACGATGCCATAATGGGACAAACCTATGTGTCACGTCTCGTCCCCTCTGGTGCCATCTCGTCCCTGAACCCCTTTCCGCCAGGACCATTCACTTTGCACCGCCTCTCATCGTTATCGTCCCCTCATCTTCCCCATCCCTCCTCATTATCCTGTCCGTTCTTCCCCCCTCCTGATCCCTCTCGTTTCATCCTCATCCTCCTCCTCTTACTCCTCCTCCTCATCATCATCCCTACTCCTTGTCACCCTCCAGCCCCCTGGAGCCGACACCGCGAAGCAGATTAAGGGGCACTCATCATCACTCTCCCCCTCGCATGTCCCCGCATGTAAGAAGACAGAATTCTCAACCTTCTGGAAGTGTAAAGGGCGATCCATTCAGATTGGTCAGGGTGCTCGAAGACAAAAAATAGGCCAACCTGAGAAGACCCAATCCGTTGGCTGGTGGGCAGGAGGGTTCACCTGATGGAGAGCGCCAAGGCCCTATCGAGAACGTTCCCAGGCAAGTGTCCCAAGAAATTGCAAAAAAGAAAAAACGACAACCAGCTAGAACTCGCCCCACTCGGACTCCTGCCGCTGCGCACTCTGGACGACAAACTTCGCAAAACAATTGCTGGAGGGCGTTCAGGCCCTCGCCGAAGCCCTGGCCCCCCTCCCCCCTTCCCCTCCCTGCAGAGCCGTCCGAAAGGCCGCCGCAAGGCCACGCCGAAGGCCTCCGCAGGGCCAACCGAAAAACCACCACCACCACCACCCCTTCCCAGGCCTCCTCCCACGCCCGCGCGGTCACTGGAGGACGCCGGGGCTCCCAGGCGGTCGTAGGCCCCAAGGGGGCCAAAAACGAGAGAACAAAAAAAGACGAGGAGGAGTCGGCTGGAGGAGGAGGGATAGGGAGAGGGAAAAGGAGGAGGAGGAAAAGGAGTTGAGGCAGGAGGAGGAGCATGCTGGAGGAGGAGCATGCTGGAGGAGAAGGAGGAGGCAGTAGTAGGTGGAAGAAGGTAGGGGCAGGAGGACATCCCCAGGCAAGTTAACCGGTTCTCTTATGGGGTCCTAAAGAGATCCCCGGATGGCCCGGGCCAGGCATGGTCGTGGAGCATAGCTTCTGCGTGAGGCGGGAGCATGAGGGGGAGGAGAAGGAGGAGCAGGAGCAGCAGCAGCTGGCAGCATGAAGATGGGCGAGGGGAGGAGAGGAGAAAGGATAGCGCAGGAGGAGGGGGGAGGAGCAGGAGGACCACGGAGGGGAAGAGCGCAAGACGGTTCCAGAGGATGCGGAGGAATGCGCAGGTGGGAAGGCGAGCGGGACGTGGAGGGGCGAGCGAGCCAGCTTCCTCCTCGCCTCCTTCCCCGTGCCGACGCCGCCGAGCAAACCGGGGGGGCGGCGCGGGCGCGGCCACGGCCTTCGCGCGCCCGTCCGCCTTCCGACCGCTGCGGCCCCCGCGGAGCTGCAGGAAGCTCGGCGTCTTCTGCGGCCACGCGCGCCGGCGAAGGGGGGGAAGGAAAGCACGGGGGGAGGGAGGGCGTGTTGGAGGAGGACCGAGGACCAAGCACGGAGCATCGAAGATCCTCGATTCGGTTGCATGTTCTCACCGCCCCTGTTGTTCAAGACCTCCCGCGCAGGGCAGAGGACCCGAGAGAGGCGGCGGAGGCGAAGGAGGAGAGGAGGACGAGGAGAGGAGGAGGAGGAGGAGGAGCGAGGGGTGGAGGGATGGAGCGAGCGGGCGCGCGAGACGCAGTGCATTCGAGAAGAGCTGGCCCTCTCGGGGCGAGGCGCGCGGGAGCGGAGCCACCGAGGCAGGGAGAAGTCGCGCAACCGGTGGGTGGTCGCTACTGCCGGATTGCTCGCGGCGCGCGTGGTCCAGGCAAGGTCGTTCGACGCGCAATGTCGTCGACTGGTCCGACCGCCAGTTCGCTCCGCGTTGGATCGCCGGGTCGGCAGGCGCGTAGATGTGCACGGATATCGTCGCCACAGCGGTTGTGGTGGCCCCCGTGGCTCTGGTGGCTCTGCTGGCGCGCGTGCGCGCTCCAGGATTCCACGGGTATAAAACCTCGCACTTCCGTCGCACAGGGTACTGGCTGGCTACGCTGGAAACACCACGTCGTGTGAGTTGTCGTCGCGCGACATCCCAGAACTGTATACCATGCTGGCGCAGGTCTTGGGAGGACCGCCACATGTATTCCACCCAACACGTGAAGGAGGGAAGGGTGAGGAGATGAGGAGAACAGGAAGCAGAACGATGATGATGATGATGCTGATGATGAGGAGGAGGAGGAGGAGGCGGAGGAGAAGAAGAGGAGGCCGAGGAGCAGGAGGAGGAAGCCGCTAGCCCGAGACCGGGAGCAGAACCCAACTCTGGTCGGCTGCAACGCGGCGCCAACATCGTCCGCAGATGGGCGCCCGCGATCCGAGATCGACCCGTTCGCCCGCGCGATCGAGGCCCAGCGATGATCTCAAGTGTCTCTTCTACTCGTGCCTCTCGTGTCCCACCAATTGTCAGCAACAGTATCGTCAAACAGTTTGAATCGCCTTGGATGTGCGGCCAGAACTCGGCGCATTCATGCAGCAACCTCTGGTGTCAGTAATTTCAGCAAGGCGTGACGGACACCTCGTGGCAATTCACAATTCACACGCCAGAAATTGCCGAGTACGTCCAGATGCTTACTTACAATTACCAGATTACCCACCAAGCCTGCAACCCATGAGTCTAGTGCCGCCGCCGCCAAGCTGGATCCCGCCGTCCTTGCCAGCTCCTGTCGTACCGTCTCCTCCATCACATTCAACCGAACAGTACACAAGCGAAAAAAACGTGGATTTGCCAGTGCTCGCATCAGTTCTCAAACGTTTCGGGCTGGCGTCAAACGTTGGATCTGCGAAAACGGTGGGACGCAAACGTGTAGCAATCATTCACATAAGGCGGACAACGGCACGCAAATTCTAGCAATTGACGGTCTGACACGTTTGACCCCTGCGGTTACTGATCAATGCGCGCAAAATCCGATTGGTGGCCAGAACGGATAGGCATCGTTAATTGGTAGTGCACCAGGTCTCCTGGCCCCATTTTCCATCGTCGTGTTCAAGAGATGGCAAGGTTGAGCTTCTGGCAGGCATCATTGGCAAAGCCAACGACGCCAGCAAGCATAGGTTTCGAAACTTGCTGGTCCAAAACAAAGGGTTACCCATCAAAGGTATTGACTATGACCCGGGCATCTTGCACGAAGCTCTCAGGAAGCGCGTCGTTCAGAAGAAAGCATGCCATGCCATCATTATTGCATCTGTTCGTGTCGCCCCATCATGTGCAGGTGGTACAGGGCAGCAATGCGAAAAAAGGCCTCGTTAAAATGTGATGACAATCATCACGTAGGCCGGGCAGCTTTACATCAAGCATGTAGCGCATGACTATCTTCACAGAGGCGGTGTGCACGGCCTCCCCAAACTTCACTTTCCTCCAGGCCCGTCCACTTTTGTATAAATTCCTTTGCCCTCCTCTTCCCTTCGTTTCCATTCCTCCCGCCCTTTTTTGTGGGACGGGTACGTACGTGTGTGTGTGTGTGTGTGCGTGTGCGTGTGCGTGTGCGTGTGCGCGTGTGTGTGTGGTGCGCACGTGGCGGAGTGTGCGTGCGTGGGTGGCGTGCAGGGCCGGGGGGGGGGGGGCACTTTAGCGAGGCGGGCGTCGTGGGAAGACATCGGCCCGACTTGTCTCTGCGAGGCCGAGCGGCAGGTGGGGGAGCGAAGATTGGATGGAGGAGGGGAGAGTGGACGGCAGTCATTGCGAGCGCTCGGCTGCTTCCTCTACAACCCGTTGTGAACCAAACACCTGAATGTTGTGGTGCGTGTTCCATCGCAGCGGCGCCCGAGACGGTGCGTGTATGAGAAGCCATGTATGTCTGCCATCAGTCTTGATGCCCGAGGCATAGTTGTAGATGTTTGGAGGAAGAAAGACGGAGGAGGAGGAGGAGGAGAGAACATTCACGGCGGACGCTCGGTTGTTTTCTCTGCAGCCTGCGTTGGGACGAGAACGTGGTTGTTGTGAAGTATGGTCGAACAAAGCAGCCCCCGACACGAGCAGCGGCTGAATGTAGCCCCGCTCCTCGGTCCGCTGCGTCACCATATTCCAGGCCGTGGTGGTAGGCCCTTGAGGCACGTGGCGAACGGGGCAGACCATGGACCCGAGGCAAAGAGGGGGAGGTAATTGGAGATAGAGGTGGAAGAAGAGGAAGAAGAGGCGATGCCATTCATTGTGGGCGCCTGGTTGCTTTCTTTGCAACCTGATGTGGACCGAACACGTCGAACGTCGATGTTATGGTGTATGCTCCAGCGCAGCGGCTTCCAGAGACGAACAACGGTTGAGTTTAGCTCCACTCCTCGGTTCGCTCCACCACCATGGACCATGGAGTCGGCATCTCTCATTTCCTTTGCGCGTACAGGACGCACCTTCCTTCCGCGATCAGTTTTTGTGCCCGAAACGGCGGGAGGGGGAGGACTGCATGCGGAGGAGGTGGAGTAGAAGGCATTCATTGCGATCGCTCGGTTGCTTCCTCTGCAACTTGCTGCGGACAGATTATGTTGATGTTGCGGTGTAACGTTCGAACGCAGCGGCGCCCGAGACAAACAGCGACTCAGGGTAGCCCCGCTCCTCGGCCCGCTCCGCCTCCATTTTCCTGACCGTGGTGGTGGACCCTGGAGGCACGTGGCCACTAAAGCAAACCATTGAGTCGGCATGTCTCAGTTAATCTTCGTGTATGGGAGGCCGTTTCTTTCTGCCACCGGTCGTGGTGCCCGAAGCGTAGAAGTTGGAGGTATAGGAGGATTGGATGTTTGAGGTGGACCCGGAGGACTGCTCAACTGTCTACGCATAATTTGTGTTTCTGGAATTGCACTCGGAATGCGACACAGGGTCGCAGCTACTTTAACCCTCGATGAGGGCAATCGCACATAATAGGTTGGAATTACGGTGGTGGAGGGGGATGGATTACGAACGCTAACACAACGTAAGTGTCGGCCGTTGCGAGCGTGCTGACCGCTTCGGCCCTCGGCGAAGGCAGCCACAATTTCAAGCGATGGCCGTCAGTGAGGACATCCAGTCACCGAGACCGCAGTCCCCCGGTGAAGGCATCCAAGGACAAGTAGGAAGAGGAGGAGGAGAGAAGTGGAGAGATAGGACGTTCAATCACGTATCTCGAGCTTCAGCCACGTGTCTCGCTACAGCCTCGTTCCGGTCCCATGTAGCTTATGATTGATGTTACATGTTTCGGCCGCGTATCTAAACTTACTGCCTCGTACCTGTTTCGGGAGTTCGTGGCGTCGGAAATCTAGGGATTACGATGCTAGTGGCCGAGGTGGGCGCGAGAGTCGACCATTGCGAGCCACTTGACCGCCAGAGCCAAAGCCTCAGAGCTAAACGTGCAAACGTTTGATTGCGCATAATAAGATTTGTTCTTTGTGAGCGAGGCCATGCCACCGATGCATTTAAAACTTGTGAAGGGAAATGGAGGTACGGGATCCATATGGGACAAGATGGGGAGATGGGGACCACCTTGCCTACGCCTGCAAATCAATTATTACTTTTTGCCCTCGCGGGCTCTCTGCTTCTTCCGCTTATTTCTGAACTCTCGCGGTTTTACTGTTTGTGTCTACCGCCATTTGCCGCATGAACGCTACAGCTCCGTTGCTAAAGTCTGCTCGGCGTAAAAAAGAAGGAGGCGGAGGAGGAGGAGCAGCGGTAGCAGCTGCAGCAGGAGCAGCACCGGGATCGGAACGAGCAGGAGGAGAGGCAGGAGGAGGAGGAGGGGAAGAGAGAGGAAGATGAGAAGGGGGACTTGGTGCAGCAGGAGGGGAAGGGGATAGAAAGGAGGGAGGAGGGAGCGGGGAGGAGGGGGCCGTGGAGGAGGACGGGACACGTAGAGAAAAGGAGAAGGAAGGGGAACCCTTTATCACCCGCTTTCCCCAGATCTCAAAAGCCCCTTTGCTCATACCGCGGCGGTCTGCCTTATGCGTCTGCAGGTCGTTGAGCTTCTTGTTCGCGCTCCAATTAGGCGCCGCGCCGGACTCGAGCGACTCGATTGCCGTGGCGAGCGCCTGAACGCAGCTCGGCGAAGAAAGGGTGCCTTCCTCTTCGCCTCCTCCTGCTCGCGTGACAACGTGCAAGACCTCCCTCCTGCGTCCGGTACTTTGAAGGATGCGATACGCAATGGTGCCATGCGCCATACCGACATAGTTTGCAAAGATAAAGAACAGTATGCTACCCGCCACCGTGTCTGCACGATCCGGGTTTTAGAGAGAAGCCCCAAGAAACCCCTAGTAATACCCAAGCTGCCTGAAGACGAGGTTAGACAAGAACGAAGTGGAAGAGGTGATCGAGACCCGCATCCGAATCAGGCATGGCACTGAGGTGGAGCGGGTCTTCAACTCTAGATTCCCCTTGCTGCGCTGACGCGCTGGAGAGCTGGCGGGGGCTGCCTTGTTGGGCTGCTGGATGTATACAGCGATTGAGCTGCCAAGAGCTCAAATAATACAGGGTGACAAATAGTTCCTTGATTTCGGAATGCATTTTCAACGGGAGGAGGGCGATTCGGCCACGGGTGGCTCCACCGAAGGGCATAGTGGCAGGGTCCGCATGGCGGCCTCGGGCCACTTGGGCGCACCCCTCACACGATTCACAGTCGCACAGGGAGTTCCACCGAAGGCCACAGTGGCAGGGCCCGCACGTCGGTATTCACAGCTGCGCATGGTTGGGTCTTGCACCTTTTTTATCCTCCACTTGTAATTGCAGCTCAATGGTAACTACAGACCCGATCCGTTCGTCGTTGTAATTGCATCCCGCTGCTGTTGCCCCCGCTCTTTTCTCCTTGACCCCCTCCCTCTTAATCCTCCACCTCGACTCCGTCTGGCCCGTCGGCTGGCTGGGCGCGCGCTCGAGGACGGCACGAGGGGAACGATGAAACACATAGTTTCCAAGCCCGCGGCCGGTTTTATCTAATTATCGTTTGGGGCGCCGCCGACGCAACACGACCCCGGGTCATTGATTAATCGCCATCTCACACTAGCCCTGACAAGTGCCTGAAATGCCCCTCCCGACCCCGAAACTCAAGAGGAGTAACAGGGGGGAAGGACGAACATAAAAAAGAGGAGGACAGCCAGGCTCAAGGCAAAGAGCGGGGGTACGCCCTGTGCCCGCTTTAACAGGACAGTGAAGTGGAGTCGGTCGTTAACTCGGCATCCTCCCTCCTGCACGGCTGCGCTGGCGACCTGTCGGGACTTGCCGTAGGCATCTGTTCAGAAGACCACTCGGCAACCTAACATTATCACGCAGGTTTTTGTTCCGTCAGCGGCGAGGCGGCGAACACCGCTCCAGCGAGAAACTAGAAAGGGGCACTAACTAGCGAATTGGCCGGCGGGCAAAAAAGGGGGGGGCGGCCGAAAGGAAAAAGGAACGCTCAAACGCCGAACAATTCGACGATGAGCAGCCGGGGGGGGCAGCAGCAGCCAGGCGCGCAGGGCCAGAGCGCGGTGGGCGGCCGTGGCAAACCACGGTGGCAAGGGTGGCGGGAGGGCGGCTGCCAGCAGCTGGAAAGGGGGGAAGGAGGCGGCGGGCGAAACGTCACAGGCGCCCGCAGGCGGCGGGGCGGAAAAGCAACGCAACGGGACGAGGAAACGCGGGCTGCTGGAAGGAGGGGCAAAGCCGCCAGAAGGTTGGCAGTGACAGGGGCATTGCGGCGCGACCGCCCGGGGCGCACCAGGCGGCCAGGGGGCCGGGAGAAGTGGGGCAGGAGGCGGCGGGCGAAGCGTCCCAGGCGCCCGCACGCGGCGGGGCGGAACAGCATCGCAACGGGAGGAGGCAGCGCGGGGCTGCCGCGGAAGGAAGGGAGCACCGAAAGGTGCAGAAGCCGGATAGCAACGCAGGGCGGCCCAATGGGCGGACCAGCGTGGTGCAGCAGAGAAGCACTGAAATGGTGCAGGGGACAATGAATGAGCGACGCGCGTCCCACACGGGAGGCGCGTCGCGAAGGGGCGGCGGCGTGGAGCACCGAAAGGTGCAAAAGCCGGGAAACAGGGATCGAAACACCGAAGTGGCGCAAAGGACAGCGGGTGAGCGACGCGCGTCCCAAACGGGAGGCACGTCGCGAGGTGGAGAGGTGAAGGAGGGCACCGAGGAGGTGCCAAGCCAGGTGCGGAGAGGCGCCCAGCCAAGGGCCGCGCGCCTCATCGAGAGCGGACGCGGGGGAGGGAGGAAGAACCAGGAACAGGGAGGCGAGGGGGCCGCCGGTTGGGCGGGCGGGCGCGTCGGCCGGCAGGGCGGGCAGCGGCCGGCAAGGAACCGCCAATTGGGCGAGGGGGAGGCAGCGGCCGCGACGAGCGCGGGGGCAGTAAGGCACCTGGGCGGTGGGCCAGCAGGGCAGGACGCCGCGGGCGGGAGGGGGGCGGCGGGGGCCCGCCGGTTGGGCGGCGGGGCGGCCGCGCTGCCCGCTGGCTCGCGCGGGCGGGCCCCCCTAGGGCGGCGGCGCTCGGGCGGCTCACGCTGGCTCACGCTGGCGAAAGAAGCAGCGGCGGAGAAAGGTGGCATCGCGCCGGCTGGGGTCGCGGGCGCCGCCGCCACGCCGAACGCAAAACCTATGCCGGGCCGCCCCAGCTCCACCAACAGCTTGCAGCGCCCCCCTGACCCGGGCCACGAGGGCCTGCTTTGAGCAGAGGAAGTCGAGCAGGACGGGGGTTGGGACATCCTCGGGGCGCGCCCGTCCCTTGCTCATTTGCCTATAGCCCGAAATGAACGAGTCCCATCGGTCAAGGGGGTCTGGTGCCGCGGCCCAGGTGCGCTTGGTGAGCAGCGGGGGGGTGCGCCGTGCAGACCGAGGCATTCCCCCCCGCGGGCTGGCGCCGAAACTGCCCGCGGCGCCGGAACCGCCCGCGGCCGTCGTCGCGGAGGGGCAGCGGGGGGCATCGGGAGCCGGCGGGGCGCAAGCGCACTGCGGGTCCGCGTTGGCGCGGGCGTCGGCGCGAGAAGCTGTCGCGGCGGGCCGCGAGGACGGAGGCCGCGCAGCGGGGGCTGTGGCGTCGGGCCCAGGCGCGTCGGGCTCGGCGTTGCCGTCGCCAGCTTGGCCCGCCCAGCGGCGTCCGTCTGGCAGCCCGAAGTCGCGAGGCTGGAGCCCGTCTGGCCGCTCGCGGTCGTGGTGCTGGAGCCCGTCGTACTGCGCGCGGTCGAGCTGCTGGGGTCCGTCGTGCTGCTCGCGATGTTACTGCTGGGGCAATCCCTGCTGCTCGCGGTCGCGCTGCGGGGATCCGTCGCCCTGTTCCCGATAGCTTTGCTGGCGCCCGCTGTGCTGCTCACGGCTGCGCCGCAGGGCCCCGCTATTCGGCCGCAGGGCCCCGCTATTCGGCGCCAGGTTCGATCGTCGCAACGTCGGGGGGGGGAGAGGACCTCCAGGCTTCCAGGGCGGACTGGGAGGGCCACCTCGAGACCGGAGGGCTGCCCGGGAACGGCGCCAGCGCTTTAAATTTATGCCGGCCCGGCCGTCCGCGGTCCGCGATCGACCCCGGGGGCCAGGGGGCCCACTGCTGGGGGCGCCAGACGCTGGCGAAGGTTTCGCAGCCCCTTCTGGCGCCAGAGTGTCATCGCAGCCTTGGACAAGTGGTTCTGGCCTGCCAGACAGAGCGCCTTTTCGCGGTCCGGGAACGCCACTGCCAGACGCGTTGGCCCGAGCGCCTGGGTGGCGACCTTTTTCGCAACGGGTCCTCAGCGCGGCGACGAGGCTCTGACCAGGTGCGCCCCGAGCAGCGGCAGCATCGCCCGCGGGGGGCGCGCGCTCGGGGGCCCGCCAGACATCGGGAGGGGCCTTCTGGATTCCGACACCGACGCGTCGTCGCCCTGCCCAAGAGCGCCGCTGAAAACGGCAAACACGGGAGACATGGGGGTTCCCCCTCAGCCCTGGTGGGGCCCAAGGAAGGCCCGCCGGTCTCTGACTCCGCCATCTCCATGGTTCGGCCCGCTGGCTCCCGACTCCGCCAGGGCCCCCCGCGCCCCCGAACGCGCCGCCAGGTGGGCGGGCGGGCTGGCCTTCCGACGCGTCAAAACTGAGAGAGCGCAGCAGAATGCCGGACGGGGGTAAATCTACCAGGTCCGGCCCGCTGGTCTGTGACGCCGCCGTTGCCGCCGGGTTGAGGCGCGCCGCGGACCGCGACGAGAACGGGGGGGCGCATGTTCCCCGCGAGCCCCAGCGAGGCCCTGGGGAAGCCCGCTGGCTTCTGATTCCGCCATCTCCACCAGGTTCGGCCCGCTGGTCTCTGACGCCGCCATGGCTGCCAGGCAAGGGCGCGCGGATTCCGGCTCTGGCGAGACGAGGGGGAGGCCCGCTGGTTTCCGTCACCGCCGTCGCTGCCGTGGCCCGGGCCCCCCTTGCCCCTCCTGCGCGGGCGCGCGGGGGGCGCCGCGAAATGCGACAGCGGCAACAATGCGCGCATCGGCGCCCTGATTTCGGCCGGGCCCGCGCGGGCGCGACGTCGGCGAGGGGGGGCCGAAGGAACGGGGCCCCCCGAGCCTCCCTCCTCTCCTCCCCCCCGCCGCCCCGCAGCGCCACGATGTGCGGCGGTGGGCGAGAAAACGGTGCGATCCCGCGCGTCGGGCCCGCGCGGGCGCCACGCGGGGGGTTCGCCTGCGAGAGAAGAGCCGCGTGGAGGCCCTGGAGAAACAGCTGTGGATTCCTCGGGAGCCCTGGGTCCGCGGGCCCCCCCCCCTCCTCCCCCCCCTCCTCCCCCCTCCTCCTCCTCCTCCTCCTCCTCCTCCTCCTCCTCCTCCTCCTCCTCCTCCTCCTCCTCCTCCTCCTCCTCCTCGCCATCCACATCGTCCGCGACCGCGGCGAAAACTTGGGCCCTGCCCCCCTTCCGCCTCCACTTTCGCCACCTCAGCCGCCGCGTCGACGAACTGCCCCTCCTCGCCCGCCACCTCCTGCGCCCCCTTCGCCTCCTCGACGCCCTCCTCGACGCCCTCCTCCATGCCCCCCGCGCCCCGCAGCCAAACTTTGTCTTTGCTGGGGTGGGTGCCTAGCGCGAGGCGGCTGACCTTGGACTCGTTCAGAAGGCCTCGC